AAAAAATTGCCAAAAGGGAGTAACGAACGGGACGTGAGTACCCATGCAAGGAAACTCCCTACAGAATAAAAAATAAATAAATATTACAAAGTTTTAAGTCAGTGCGAATGAGTTCTATGGCAGGAACAGTCTATAAACACTGACCAGGTACACGGTTGGTCAATATCGAAAACATTTGCTAATAAATTAAAATAGTGATTAGTGACAAAGTTCTTAAAGGATGAAAGAGTACCTAAGGAAGACGGAGGAGCTACTTTACACATAATATTCCACAGTTTTGTAATTCTATTAAAATATGAGGCCTTAAATAAAGATGTTTTACAGGACTGAGTTTTCAGCAGTAATTCCGGATTAAAACAGTTTCTTGTGCGGTTGTGGGGAACAAAATTAACAAAGTTGTTAACGTCAATAGGCGATATTCCGTACAGACAGTTATAAAAAAATATTAAGTCTTTGATCTCTCGGTCATAACAAAGAGGCAACATATTCAACTTAATTAAGCGTTCTTTGTAAGAGGATTCGTGCAGTCTTTCCTTTAATATCCATCTGGTTGCTCTGCGCTGCACGCGTTCTATTTTAAGCTTTAAGTATATGTGATGCGGTGACCAGACAACGGTGGCATAAGACAGTTGAGATTTCACAATGGATAAGTAGAGTGATCGACGGACATTTGCGTCGGGTAAGAGAGGGCAAGTTCTTTTCAGGAGACCCAATTAAAAGGATTATAAAGTTATTTAGTTAAGTTTTAATTTTAACGAGAGTTGAAAGGTTGACTTTTCTTATGTTCTTGAACGAATTTAGAGTTTCTATCGTTCTTAGGTGTCTTGCTAACTTCGACCAGATGAGAGGTCCCATATATTTGAAAGAATTCCTACCAAATCTTACAGTTTCGAATCATGGCAGTTCGAAGTCACTGTTCCGTAAATTATACTGAGTGTTCTTTATATTAAATGAGTCAGAAATATTCTCGGGGACGAGACTGTGCTTAACTTTAAACATCAAAGTGGCAATGTCTTGTAGGCACCGATTGTACAACGTCGGTAGTTTGGCGCGACTTAGCAGTTCTTGATAGGACGCTGATCTAGTTTTGTACGCCGCCCTAAGTGCTCGCTCTTGAATCCGCTCAAGCTTTCTCCGATCCGATGCATTACAGAAGTGCCATACTAGATGACAGTAGGTTAGATGGGGCAGAATTGAAGACCTGTAAAATGAGGATCCGTCAGACACCTATTCTCAGCACCAGCAAACTTCATTTTCCATAATGGGAGCGTAGCGCCATCCCCTCTCGCTTACGTGTAAGATTAGTCCACTTTAGATATCATGATACATGGCAGCTGTTGTCCTTTCCGTATAAGTGGTCGAACGCAAAACGTTATATAATTTTCCCTCTGTGTATTTTTCACGTAGTTACAATCCATGAGAAGTCACAGGTATTAGATATCTCTGCCGCGCTAACATCTGTAATCATTTCAACATCATGAATTTAGCAGTCTTAAATCCATCCAAACGACTTGAATTTGACGCGCCAGGCAGTAGAACACTTAAAAGATGCATTTATAGAATTTCATCCAAGCTGAGATACAAATAGAAAAATTCAAGATTCAGATTCAATTGATCAATGGCATATTAATTCTTATACCATTAAGCGCATCTTGACGGAAAATTTGAGTTTAAAACATTTCACGAGTAGTTGTTAGAGACTTGGGCATTTTCTGTAACTTTTGAAAACACGCGTGATATTAATCCTTTCTTTCACTTAGCATCATTCGATTACCTCTACAAAGTGGGACTATAAATACTATGCAAGGTATTCCATACATTTTGCCTTTATGCTTCTCTGACATAGATAATATATTTAAGCAGCTCGTCTGTAAATTGAAAAAAAAAAAAATTCGTTCAATACAGTAATGGAAATTTTTCGGTAAATTAATATTTCTTATCGTCTTCATGTCCCATCGTCTTACGTAGGTACCCCCTCAACATCATTCAAGCTGCATGAGGCTTGATCTGACATTGAACCGCTTAGCCGCACTAGGACCCCTACTTTTTGACTGGGCTTAGAGCATAGATCACTGATATGACTAGTAAAACTCAATTTTTCATCGATTTGAACTGCTAAAAGCCGTATTTCCCCCATTCTCTCAATAGTATGACCGTCAACAGAAAAATTTTTACTATCGTTGTCTTTGTCAACAATTCTCGGGTTGATCGTTAATAGCTGGAACTTTTCTGCGTAATTAATGTGTCTTTCTCCTCATCTCACTGAACGATCGAAAGAAAAACCCATTTTGCCGGGGAAATCTTGATCCATCGCCATCGACGCCAGGAGGTCCCATTGGCTCGTTGGTTTGCGGTTTCAAGAGGCTAAATAATCTGGCATGGCGCGAGTTGTTAACGAATCTTTATGAGCTAAAATCTCGCATTTGATTTTGAGACGAATACATCCAATGTGAGCGAATTTATAGGGTATTTAGATTTGATCAATTTTCGTCATATTTTTCCAAAGTATTCCAGGAATAATGACAAAGAACTTGAAATGTCAGGAAATTTTGATTCTTGAAATATTTGTCTATTTTACCCAGCGCGCCTCATATATTTTTAGCTCCTCCAGCTTATGATACTCGCTCAAATTATATTTTTGTCGTTAACTGCATTTATTAAGCTTTTTTCTGAGGACTGAATAGCTTGCTTGGAATTTTAGTGAAACTAGTTCGCGCACGAGTTAAACTGACTAGAAGTATTGACGGGCCTGCACGACTCCTGCCATTCCGCAAGTGATTTCATACTTCTACCTTCAGAGATTAGTTCTGACCAGGATACATTTTGATAAATTTCCTCTGCGATGCGATTTAAAACGTTGGTTTTCAATAGGGTGCCATTTCCCCATCAGCATGTTCTTGAGGTCGAGTAAAGCGGGACGATGTTGCGTTAAGAAAGACAATCTTTTGATTTATGTGCTATTTTCTTTGTTTTTAAATGACCCTTCTCTACCGGAGCAGATAACCTAGACATGTGTTTCTCCAGAACTTTGTGGGGCATCCTCTTGAAACTCTGTACGTTTTTCATTAACCGTAGAGCGCGTGGGATTTTTTCTTAGGATGCGTCACACTTCTCCTTTTGCGAGTCCTTTCTTTACCTCTAGAAAAAGAGTTGAAAGACGGCACGATTCCTACCGTGCGATTTCCTCCGCAGTTTCCCATCTGTAAAGAAAAACGAAGGCGTGGACTACTAAGATCAACTGACAATTCCTTTTTTGACTGTTTTAATCAATTAGAAGGAAATATGGTATAGGGAGAAAAAAAAATTTGAAAACTGTTGTTGATTTTTTTTTCGCCACTGCCAGATTAGGTTTGGCCCTGAAGTTGTCTAACCATTCCTACAAGTGAATCTGTGACAGTCACAGCGGATAACATCATTCCATTTGTATTGATGATCTTGAAGGAAACCAAGCGTACGAACACAGTCCTCATTGTAAAATTAAAGTTGTATATGAGAACGATCCTTCGCAGTAAAGCACTATTTGAGCAATAGTGAAAATCAGACCTGAAAAAAATTTCAGGCCTGTACGGGATTCGAACCACTGACCTCTGCGATACTAGTGCAGCGCTCTACCAATTGAGCTAACAAGCCAACTGGGAGCAGGCCATCAAATTAATTCGATATAAACCCGTAGATGATAAATCAAACAACAACAAACATATGAAACATATGTGTGAACTGCGGTTATGAGACGTATATGAGAACGATCCTTCGCAGTAAAGCACTATTTGAGCAATAGTGAAAATCAGACCTGAAAAAAATTTCAGGCCTGTACGGGATTCGAACCACTGACCTCTGCGATACTAGTGCAGCGCTCTACCAATTGAGCTAACAAGCCAACTGGGAGCAGGCCATCAAATTAATTCGACATAAACCCGTAGATGATAAATCAAACAACAACAAACATATGAAACATATGTGTGAACTGCGGTTATGAGACGTATATGAGAACGATCCTTCGCAGTAAAGCACTATTTGAGCAATAGTGAAAATCAGACCTGAAAAAAATTTCAGGCCTGTACGGGATTCGAACCACTGACCTCTGCGATACTAGTGCAGCGCTCTACCAATTGAGCTAACAAGCCAACTGGGAGCAGGCCATCAAATTAATTCGATATAAACCCGTAGATGATAAATCAAACAACAACAAACATATGAAACATATGTGTGAACTGCGGTTATGAGACGTATATGAGAACGATCCTTCGCAGTAAAGCACTATTTGAGCAATAGTGAAAATCAGACCTGAAAAAAATTTCAGGCCTGTACGGGATTCGAACCACTGACCTCTGCGATACTAGTGCAGCGCTCTACCAATTGAGCTAACAAGCCAACTGGGAGCAGGCCATCAAATTAATTCGA